TGGCACAGTCGGTTAAGCGTCCGACTTCAGCCAGGTCACGATCTCGCGGTCCGTGAGTTCCAGCCCCGCGTCGGGCTCTGGGCTGATGGCTCGGAGCCTGGAGCCTGTTTCCGATTCTGTGTCTCCCTCTCTCTCTGCCCCTCGCCCGTTCATGCTCTGTCTCTCTCTGTCCCAAAAATAAATAAAAAACGTTGAAAAAAAAAATAAATAAACATTAAAAAAAAAATAGGGGCATAAAAACTTGTGCCAAGTATGACAAACGGGGGTCTACAGTCTCTGTTCCCTGGGGATCCATCAGCTCTAGTCCCTGTTGCTAATCCCTTCCTGAAAGTTCTGTCAAGGGTTGGAATGCGGGTCCCACCACACTGTCCTTCACCCCTCTCCTTCCCACTTTAGGATAATCTCTTCTCTTTTCCTTTCTACTATCCTTTCTCTGCCCTTCAGGGATGCCTATTAGAACCACCTTACAGGGGCGCCTGGGTGGCGCAGTCGGTTAAGCGTCCGACTTCAGCCAGGTCACGATCTCGCGCTCCGTGAGTTCGAGCCCCACGTCAGGCTCTGGGCTGATGGCTCAGAGCCTGGAGCCTGTTTCCGATTCTGTGTCTCCCTCTCTCTCTGCCCCTCCCCCGTTCATGCTCTGTCTCTCTCTGTCCCAAAAATAAATAAACGTTGAAAAAAAAATTAAAAAAAAAAAAAAAAAAAGAACCACCTTACAGAATGTAGGTCAGAGGTAACTAAAGTGTGGCTGGAAAAAGTTTTGGTTGGCTTGTATCGTGTTGTTATGGTTTTTTTTTTTGGGGGGGGGTTATGTCTTTAATTTTAATGAGAATATATTTATAGCATCTGAGGAGACCAAAGCATGTGAGGTCCACCACATTGTGTATAGCCAAGGGCTGCCATTTGTTGTTTTGGTTTTTAACTGAAATTAGTAACCAGCATTTAAAAATCAAATGCGTGCACATTAAAATCTATAATTCCAGCTTCTTAAGGAATTTTGGAAAATCTGGCTTTTGCTACATGGCAATAACCAGCTGGGGAGAGAAGGGCTGTCCCTTTAGACAACCACAGTGCTCTGCTTCTGTCCTGGTGCAACCCAGCATTCGTCACTAGTTACTAGCACCGCCTGACCTGAAGGAGTGTTGGACTTTGGAACTCTCTCTTCTGGTCTTTCACAAGAGCCAGGGAGACAAACATTTTTTTTTTGGGGGGGGGCAGATATCACCCTTAGAACCCTTAGAACATAAATATAGGCCAAGGTGAGGGGATATAAAAAAAATACGGTTGTCTTTGTAGAACCAAAAAAGAAACAAATGACGAAGACCGGAATAAATTATCCGTCCACGTGAACAATAAAAATGGCGACCACATTCAGAGATTTCATTATGGCCCAAGTTCTTCACAGAAACAATGCCAATTAATCCTCACAAATACACCCTGTCTCACGGAGGGGAAAACTGAGGCTCAGAAGAAAGTGACTCGGCCAAGTCACAAGGCTAACAACATGGTGGAAACTTGGAACGCTGGTATGCATGGGTCTTCCCTCTGGGGCTCCCCTGCCTCTCTTATCGTGGGTGTTAGTGGCCCTTCTTCAGGGGAGTAAGGACACCTGAATTCATCGCCAAGTTTAACGGTATCAGAGGCTGAGTTGGAAGTGAAGTCACCTTGACACTGAGTACCAGTTAGTACCTCCACTCTCACTCCCTGCCAGAAGGAAACTGTTTTCTAAGACTTTCTGGAGGGTCAGGGTCTGGCCCCATGCTCTTACAAATAGCACTTATTCAATAAATGTGTTCACGTTGTTACTCCTGGTAGCTTGTCTGGAATGGTACTAAGCGCATGTGTGTGTGAGTGTGTGTAGGGTGACAAGGGGAAAAGACAAGGGAAAGGACTGAGCAAGGGGAACATGTTCCTGATCCTTCCTGTCTTGGGCCAGAAATATTGCTGAAAAGGTAAAAACTATAGAGACATACTATAAGGAGAGTGTTTTTCCAAAATGTACAATAGCTCCAGAAAAAGACCTAACATGAGTCAAAATACTTTGCTTTCTTGGGGTTTGTTTTTTTGATAGAAATTCATAGAAAGAGAAAGCTACCTAATATGATAAGCTTTCAGGTTGACAATTTGAATTTGCATGTTTATAATGAATCTCACATTGTCGACTAGACAACATTTTTATATCCTATTAGCATTTACCTAAGTAAATTTTTTTTTTCAACGTTTATTTATTTTTGGGACAGAGAGAGACAGAGCATGAACGGGGGAGGGGCAGAGAGAGAGGGAGACACAGAATCGGAAACAGGCTCCAGACTCTGAGCCATCAGCCCAGAGCCCGACGCGGGGCTCGAACTCACGGACCGCGAGATCGTGACCTGGCTGAAGTCGGACGCTTAACTGACTGCGCCACCCAGGTGCCCCTACCTAAGTAAATTTAAGCTGACATAGGGTTTATGCCAGAACTGAAGTTACCACTGTTGAATACCGCATATGAAAAAATTAGATGATAGAATAACAGGTGAAGAGGCTATCGCTGCGGATTTGCATTATAATTTCATTTCTGGATGGGATATATGGGGAATTTTCTGTCGTTAGTTTTGTACAGTATGTAAAAAGAGAACCAGCTACGTCAATGACTTCAGAAGGTCTGATGACATGATTTTGAGAGTAATCGTGTTGTTCAGGGGAGGGGGAAAGTCCAGTTAAAGGGAACTATATGAAAATTGTACTATGTGAAAGTTTCTGAGTTAATTTTAATGATTTGTCAGATTTTTCTTTTCTGATTTGAGATTATTCTCTGGCATCCAGTGATGGCTTACAATGTAGCTTTTCAGCCCTGCTGGATGGAGATCCTAAAACAAAAACAACGAGGCCATGTTGATGGCAATTCCTAGTTCTCTACAGCTACTAACTTAAGGTCTGTTACTGCTCATATCAAAAGATGATAACCAAACGGCCTTTAATACATTTAGGTCCTGAACTAAGAAATTATGTATACTACTATTGTAGAGCTGAAACGGGGGCTCAGAGAGGTGAAGGGACTTGTCTAAGGTCACCTAGCAGGTAAGTTGTAGGAGTAGGTCCCAGATTCTGATTTCCAGGAGTATTCTCTCCTTTGGAGACACTGGTTTCATTGCTTTGGCTTCCTTTTGTCTAAGGGTTCAACTAAAGAGTGTTTTACACCATAATAAGCTTGTATTTTGCTTGCTGTTGTTGATCTGTTTGCTGATCTTTGAGTATTGTCGGTGTAGATATATTTATTAGACTGCTCCATAGAGGGTGTGTAAGATAATGACATTTGTATTGTATCCACAAAATTGAGACTGTGGCAATCTCCGCAGGATACATGACCAACTGATTTCATAAAGAGTTTCAAGGGGGAAAAAAAAAAATTGGGAGCGACCTATCCATTAAATGAGGCAAAAGACAGGTCAACCAAGTACATTGTGTTTTGGAACCTCTATGGATCCTGATTTGAAGAAAACAACTGGAAAACAATTATTAGACAATCAGGGAAATTTCAACGGTGTATACTTAAAGGTTTTAGAGAATTATTTTTATTTATTTATTTTTTAGGTAAAATAATGCAATTAAGTACGATTTTAAGAATCTTAAAAGATCTTTTAAGATTCTTAAAATCTTACTTAAAAAAATCTTTCTCGGGGCGCCTGGGTGGCTCAGTGTTAGGCATCGGACTTCGGCTCAGGTCACGATCTCAGGGTCCGTGAGTTCGAGCCCCGCGTCAGGCTCTGGGCTGATGGCTCAGAGCCTGGAGCCTGCTTCCGATTCTGTGTCTCCTTCTCTCTCCGCCCCTCCCCCATTCATGCTGTGTGTCTCTCTCTGTCTCAAAAATAAATAAAAACGTTAAAAAAATTAAAAAAAAAATCTTTCTCTTTCACAGGTAGATATCGAAGAGATGACTTGATACGATATTAGGGGCTTCCTGCAAGTTAACAGAGCAGATGAAGATTGATCTTTAAACGATAATTGTTGACGCTGGGTTCTGGGTACTTGATGGTTTACTATATTATGGTATCTACTTTGGATTCTGTATGTACATCTTACACAAAACAATACATTGTTCAGTGATGAACCCAAAGTAGATGATTTGGTTTTATATTGCATAATGCCTCATTTCAAGGAGCTCTGAAGGGAACGGAAAAGGGTCTTAGAAGTCGTCTAGCCCGATCTCCACATCCCTCTCCTTTCCTTTTGGGCACAAATGGGGGTGGGGTGGGGATTGTTTTTTCCTCCTTGTTCTCTCCCTCTACCCCGCCCGAGGTCCATTTTCAAGGTAGATAACCCCCAAAAGATTTCTCATCTTTCCTAAAATAAAGCCCGAAGGTTGGGAGGAATGCCTTCTTTAATTGGGGTCTTGATTGTGCTAATTAGTTACTCGGTTGTCAGGGGGCCCGAAGAACCTATACTTTTAATTCCCCTACCCACGTGACAGTGTTTTTGTTTCTAAAGCACAGGAAATTCTCGGAGAGTTTACGTCACCTCCAGCAGTTACAGTAATTACCGTATTGACGCGACTTGTTTCCAAAACGTGAACACTCGCGGTGCGGCGCGAGTCCTACTTAGAGATTTTTTTCAGTCCAGACTTAAGTCTGAATTTCTTCTAGTAGATGATGTGAGATTCATTAGATCACTCTGTGATCTAATTTTTAAGCAGTAGTGACACCGGGGATCGGAACGGAGCTGGTTTTGTGTGTGCGTGTGCGTGTTTTCAGTGTCTATTGCTGGATTTCCCAGGTGTGTCTGGGGGGGAAAGCAGAGACTACACCACACTGACACTCCACGCAGGGGCACTGCAGGCAGCGTTTGCTGCAGTAGTGCGCCTGCGCAGTCGGTCCCCGCCAACTCGCCCGCCTTCCCCCAACCGGCTAGCAGGGGGCGCTGTGAGGTGATGGCCTAGTCTTTCCCCAGGGCTCTGGAACGTAGCATAAAAGGGCAGGAGGCGAGGCGGGCTGAGGGGCGTTCTATCCTCGACTGCCCTGGTCTCTATCACCCTTTGTCCTCCAGCTTTCGCCTTCCCTGCACTGGGCCTGCGGGCCTGGTTGCTAGGCGGAAGCGGGGCGCGGCGGCTGCCGCTGCGGCTGCCCGGGCGTTTGAAAAGCGGCCACACAGGCGGCAAAAGGTCCTCCGGTGGCGGGTTCGCTTCTCCCTGCAGACAGTCCGGGGGACCGAGCGGCCTTTGCCTTTCCGTGGAGTCGGGGCAGGGCTAGGGTCGGGCTGGCGGTCCGGGGCAGGGGAGCCGGGCGCGCTGCAGGCGGCGGCGGGCCCGGGCCGAGGAGCGGGGTCTCGGCGTCGGGGGCCGCGGGCGGGCGGTGGGAGCCCCGGAGGGAGCCCTCCTCCTGGTGGTCGCGGGCCTCCAGCATCTCACCCGGGTCCCTCTTCCCCCAAGCAGACCCCGCCTGTGGGCCGCCCACCGCGACCATGGTCTCCAAGTCCGACCAACTGCTCATCGTCGTATCCATCCTAGAAGGTGAGCGGCCAAGGGGCTTGCATTTGCACCTGCAGCCTCCTTACTTAACCGAGTGGCGTGCGACTGAGACTTTGTTAACCTTACGAACCCTGTCATCTTTCCTTTTGCAGTCCCGCAAGACTTGTTCAGAGTTGTACTTCCTGAGGCCTGTTAGGCGACTGATTTAGAAACCTCTCAAGGGAGCGTGAGAGCTATTAGGGAGAGGTGATATTTAGCGTGAAGAGCCGGAGCCCCAGAGAACGTAGGAAAAACGATTTCCATCAGAAGCAGCACGTCGATGACTTTGACTCGTGAGCTAAGGTGCCTGGAAAGCACGTTCTGTTCAGGGGCCTCCCGGTGATCCCATTTGTGAGAGCTTTGCTTTCGACTCGAATCCCTATTTCCTGCAGTCTGAAGTGTTACGGGGGCCATTCCCTTTACTAAGTCTTCATAGGGGACTTAGGAGGAGTAGTTGTCAAGACGGTCTGTTATATACGTTCCTAGAAGTTTGGTGTGTTGAAGGAGTGACCTTTGTTTATTGCAGGCTCATGGAGTGTCAGGCACTGTGCTGGGAATGTAGGGGTAAAACAGGCCGGGTCCTAAAAACTAAGTAAACAGTATAGCCTGGAGAATGCGTATAGTTCATCAGGCTGTGGGAGAAGGAAAGACCAGCTCTGGGGAAAATTTCCCGGAGGAGGTGACATTTATTTGGGTCCTAAAGGATGAGTCAGGAATGTGTCAGGAGAAAAGGGAAAGGGTGGGCTTTCCAGGCAAAGGGAAGAGGGAAGAACCCTTAAGGTGTGGAAAGGCCAGGCACATTCTGCCCTTGCTGAAATTCAGTGTGGTTGGAGAGAAGCTGCAGGCAAGTGGAGGGAGTAGGAATTGCTAGGTAAGTTGAAGATGGGTTTTGAGGGGCGCCTGGGTGGCTGAGTCGGTTAAGCGTCCAACTTCGGTCCAGGTCATGATCGCACGCTCCGTGAGTTTGAGCCCCGCGTCAGGCTCTGTGCTGACAGCTCAGAGCCTGTTTCAGATTCTGTGTCTCCCTCTCTCTCTGCCCCTCCCCCATTCATGCTCTGTCTCTCTCTGTCGCAAAAATAAATAAACGTTAAAAAAAAAATTAAAAAAAGAAGATGGGTTTTGAATAATCTGATCACGGCAGTCCTCTTGAGTTGGGCCGGAGGAATGGCTGCCTTCTGCCCCCCTCCCCCACCATTGGAGGTATTTTGTGGAGGCCTGGTACTATTTGGGGGGGTGGGTGGTAAGAGGGAATGAGTGGTAATGGCTTTTGGCACAGAAAACTGACCAGAACCCCTAAATTGTTGGGGCAGCATTTTTAGCTGTTCTCTTACTGATTGTTTAAAGACAGAGGGCTGAAATCCCCTTGTAATTGGTCAACAAAAGCTTCTGGACTTGGTACTTGCTCCCTCCTATGAGGAAACCCAAATAAAAGGCACGTTCTTTCCCTTCAAGGATGTAGGATTCTGTCTTCTTCAGAAGATCAAATTCACAGGCAGGACACAGTATGTTGGAGTGCAGTATAATATTAAAAATATGGGATGTGGGCTGTAAACATCGGTTTTGGGGGTGGGTGGGGATGATGGCTTAAGGGCTTTGAGTAGTTAGGTAATGATGGGAGGAAGTCCCTGCTGGCCATTAGATCAACCCAGGCCAGGGGTGCCTGGGTAGCTCAGTCCATTAACTGCCTGCCTCTTGCTTTCTGCTCAGCTCATGATCTCTCATTTCATGAGTTCAAACCACGTCTCGGGCTCCGCGCTGACAGTACGGAGCCTGCTTGGAATTCTCTCTCCCTCTCCCTCTGCTTCTCTTCTCTCTCACAATAAATAAATAAACTTAAGAAAAACGGAAAATAAAAAACAAACCCCAGGCCAATGATGGAGTAATTTTGGTGGATGGAATGATGAAGAGGTCCCGCAAGATGACCAGAGTCAAGGGAGGTGAACATTGAGGAGTATTCTGGTCAAATAAGCTTGTGTAGCTGGAGTGAGCAGGCCTTGGAGGATTTTGAAAGCCAAGGAGTTCAATGTTCTAAAAAATAGGGAGGCAGCCTATATTTCTAAGTAGGAGAGCATTATCTGCAAGTTTAGTATCGGTGTGCAGAGAAGAGAACCTCGATTCAGGGCTGTCGGTTAGGTGTTGCCCTAAACATACCTAAAACCGGACCATGGACCTCCGTGCAAACCGTCTCCTTTTGTGTTTGTGTTTCCATTCATCATAACCGTGTTGTTGCCTCAAGCCCAGAACCTGGGACTCTTCATCTTCCTGGTTCCTTCTCCATCCCCTTCTTCCAGATGGTCACCAAGCTTTGTTGCTAAAATCATACGAGGTGCTTCATGTAAACTTTTAAAGGAGGAAGTTTCCACTGTGAGTGCCCCGCTTTGAGCCCCTCATGATGCGCTTGATCTCTTCTAGTAATCTTTTCAGTGGTCTGTTTCATCAGTTTTTTCCCCCCTTTCCAGAGAATGTCTATTGTTCACATTACCATCTAGGAGTAATCTTTCTGAAATGCGAATTTAATTGTCTTAAAAATCCTAGTTTCCTAGAGGATAAGGTCTGTACTTTCTAGAACAGCATTCATGGCCCTTCACGGTATGCCTCTTGCCTGCCTTTTCAGCCTCTTCTCCTCTCTTGCCATCTGTCCCTACGTCCCCATCTCTTCAGTTATTTTGAGCTATGTGCAGTTTCTTGACTACACTTCTAGAAATGCCCATTATTCAAAAGAAAATGATGAGGTTTCTACCATGAGCCAAATTTGGGCTATGTGCCGGAATCCATGGATGAAAAAGACAAGGTTTCTGTTCTCAAGGTATTGTCTGTGGAATGAGGGAGGCAGCCCTTCGTTCCAGTACGTATTCTCTGTTCTCAGGCTAACTGGATGGTATGGTTATGATGGTGTGGCTGAGAATACAGGCTTTCTGACAGACATGAAATGCATTTGGGGAACCCCATGATCTTTTAGAGCAGCTCAAAATGATGTCCAGAGAGAGGCCCCTGTAAGTGCTAATTGGGAGACCCCTGCTAAGACACTTGTACTAAGACTCCCAAATGGGGAGTTTGAAGCGAGAGCTTCAGGTTGAAAGTCAGAGGATTGCAATCAAGAATCTCTCTGACCCTTTTACTTCCTACTGAGAAGAGTGTAGCAGGGTGAGTAGCAGCTGGGATGTATTTATTTAATATCGGTCAAAACGTGTTGAGACATGTGTCTCAACACCATGCCCTGCGCCAGACCTACAAACAGGTTGACTGTGAGATTCTTCCCTAGTTTTTAGCTTCCTGTTGGCACTGTTTTCAGTTTGCTTCTTTCCACTAGACCCTCAATTCCTTGAGGCGATGGACTCTGTTTTACTCTTGTTTGTACCCCATCATTTGACATAGAGAATACCTGACTCTGATAATGCCTTTAGTAAACGGTGAAAGAAGGGGGTCAGGCAGTACCAGGGAAAAGTGATAGGTAGACAGAATATTTTTAAAATGATTGACAACATTGTCCTTGAGATTTGAATGAATGAATACGTGTGTCTGTTTTTCTTGGGCTGATTTGCGGAGTGTTCCTAACTGTGTTAACAGGAAAATTATGATGCATGTTGGTTGGCTTTTGCTTATTGGGTTATTTCCCAGCTCTCCAGAAGACTTGACTATTCCATTTTAACCTCTGATACAGTAATATCTAAAATTAGTGGAATCACATTTTTCTTCTAAATGTCACTGAGATCGTTGCTGCTCAAAGCATGAATCAAGGACAATAGTATTGACATCATGTGGGGGTTTGTTAGAAATGTGCCTCTCAGAGGGCACCTGGGTGGCTGAGTCAGTTGGGCTTCTGACTTCAGCTCAGGTCCTGCTCTCATGGTCTGTGAGTTCGAGCCCCAAATCGGGCTCTGTGCTGACAGCTTGGAGTCTGGAGCCTGCTTCCGATTCTGTGTCTTCCTCTCTGCCCCTCCCCCACTCACACTGTGTCTCTCGAAAATGAATAAATGTTTTAAAAAAAAGCCTCTCAGCCTCGACTAGTGAACCATAATCTACATTTTAACAGAGTCCCCAGGTGATTCATGTGCACGTTAATGTTTTGGAATCACTAATTTACACATTGTAGCTTTCAGTTTGATTCTTTCTTATGAATCATGAATTTGTACGTGAGAGTACACATTAGTAGGTAGTTAGTGGACTATATAAGTCAACAACTCCTAATGTGTATTTAAAAAAATTTTTTTTTTCAACGTTTATTTATTTTTGGGACAGAGAGAGACAGAGCATGAACGGGGGAGGGGCAGAGAGAGAGGGAGACACAGAATTGGAAACAGGCTCCAGGCTCCGAGCCATCAGCCCAGAGCCTGACGCGGGGCTCGAATTCCCGGACCGCGAGATCGTGACCTGGCTGAAGTCGGACGCTTAACCGACTGTGCCACCCAGGCGCCCCTCCTAATGTGTATTTTTAAAAAGTGCTAAAAGATCATAGTTGATTTTTGTACAGTTCTGATTAACCTGTATGGTCTTTTTCTCCAGGTCGTCATTTCCCCAAGCGTCCAAAACATATGCTTATAGTAGAAGCAAAGTTTGACGGAGAACAGTTGGCTACTGACCCTGTGAACCACACCGACCAGCCAGAATTTGCTACCGAGTTAGCCTGGGAGATCGACAGGAAAGCACTCCATCAGCACAGGTGACTGTTGTTTTCCATTTGTTTTGCTCTAGGTTTTAGGCTGCTAGAGATGAATAAATCTCTATCTTTCTAGATTATGGTAACAATGATAATACTTGTTTAGTGGTTTTCTCATGTGCCAGGAAGTTTTCAAAGTACTTTGCAATAGTAATTCATTTGAACATCAAGACAATCCTATGAAGTGGGTGTTAGGATTTCCCCCAATTATAGATGAAAAAACTGAGGCCTAAGAAGGTAAGTAACCTGTCACAAGGGAGTCAGCTGGATAATGGTAGAGCACAGCCATTTGAGTTCTAGAGCCTAAGTTTTTAACCATTACACGTAGCTTTTTTTTTTTTTCCTGATGTGTGAGAGGATACTCTAGAAGTGCTGTAATGATAGCTACCCAATATTAAACATGGGTTGGAATTCACTGTAATTTCTATTACTTCCTTTATCATAACTTTATCTGGCTTGCTAAGGATATGTAGAGATATGTGTATAGTAATTATGTAAGGATCTCCAATAAATTGTATACTTCATTTTAGCCCTTTAAACACTTCATATCAGTACATAAAACAGGCTTAAAGCTACAGCCTCCTATTTATTTCATGAGCTCAGACGACTCGAAACAGGCAAGAGTGTGGCTACTTCTGTTTTAAAAAGGATTGGAAAAACATTTTTCTGAAAAGCACAGAATCACTTCATTCATTGGTGTGTCTTAGGACTAAAGCAAATAAAATTACGAAGTTAAAAAGTCAATGTAAGGAGAAATTTATTTTCTTATGTGGCCAAATCGGTCCATGGATTTGTTTGGGGGATTTGCAAGGGCATTAAATTCTTAGAAGATCAAAATTTTGTGTTCAGTGACTTCTGGAATATCTGCACAGAGTCCTGATAGGAGGTATTAGTGCCCGCAGTGTTCACAGTTGTGTTAATGCCAAGTGGTACCACTCTGCGTGTTGGAAGCTGAGAAAAGAACACAGATAAATTGCATGTATATAAATGATGACTGTATGCCAAGTGCAAGTTTTATAGTCATTCCATTAGGTAACAGTGATGGTCGAATCTAATGAGCTTATGTATGAGCCAGTATAGAGGTTTCAGACTCTCAAGAACCCCTGCTATACCAGCCAAGGTCATGCTTACAGAACATTGTTGTGTATTACAATGAATTATTACTTTCGGTAGTCTGTGATTTTATGGTATTTAATTCTGAAGTTGATTTCATCATTTTAGTGACAAAAAGAGCTTTAAGCATATATGTGTATCGGTAGTTTTATGTGTGTATGACAGTGTAAGGATAATTTAAAATCAATCTTGAAGATTCATGTTCAATTTTAATTTATTAACTTTTAAAATTTTTTTTCAACGTTTATTTATTTTTGGGACAGAGAGAGACAGAGCATGAATGGGCGAGGGGCAGAGAGAGAGGGAGACACAGAATCGGAAACAGGCTCCAGGCTATGAGCCATCAGCCCAGAGCCCGACGCGGGGCTCAAACTCACGGACCGTGAGATCGTGACCTGGCTGAAGTCGGACGCTTAACCGACTGCACCACCCAGGCGCCCCAATTAATTTATTAACTTTTAAAGAGTTCTGTATGGTAGAGAAGCTTGAAAAGCAATGACCTACAGCATAGCTCCTCAGATGAGAGAGACCAAGATTTTTGATGTGGTTGTAGTATTACTTGGTGTAAAGATAAATAGGCATGATGAATAGTTCATGTCAGTTGAAGTTTTGCAGAAAATAGAGATTATCCGAAAGAATTATAGTTGTCTTGCTAGTAGCAGGCAGCTTTTCAAAACTAGCAGAACATCTGCTCAATACTAAGCAGAAGCTAGTTCGTCTATAACATAAACTGTTACGTTACAGGCTGCAACGCACGCCGATCAAACTGCAGTGTTTTGCCTTGGATCCCGTATCTTCAGCCAAGGAAACTATAGGCTACATTGTGCTAGACTTGAGGACTGCTCAAGAAACAAAGCAGGTATTGCCCTTTTGATGCGTTGTTACCGATGAGGTTAGGTGCGGATTTTTCGTAGATAACCCATTGATGGAAAGAACCTGTGGTACTGGACCTGAAAGGGCGAGGGTCTGAGCCGGTGTGGCGATTCTGAGGTTTCGCTTTAGGAATTTGATTTAGAGAGTCCCAATATTTTGGTCATTTCTTTGACCTAGAACGACCTTTCTCAAAGAAAATTCTCTCTGAGCTCAGACGTTCGGCCGCATCGCTGTGACCTGGAGCTCAGCATGTTCAGCTGCCAAGCTTTGCTTTCAGAGGTGGTGCTTTTGCCGCGTGCCCTGCTCTGGTGAACGGCACCCCTCTTCCAGGTACGCAGGCCAGACGGCCTCCATTTCCGGCCTCCGTAGCCATCCTTTTCCAGTTGGTTTCAGGCCCGCGGCGACCCCTTCCTGATCCAGCTCCCGTGGTACCTTTTCGCCCTTGCGATCCCAGCCCAAGGCACCGTCCTTTCTTAACCTTGGCTGTGCTAGTAGCCTTCTGATTCCTTCCCCTGCTTCCCATTCCTTCCGTGTGTAGCCGTCAGAACACGTGAGCTCAGTGAAATACACTTATGGGACATAAACAGCAGCCTTGCCAGGAGCACACACATAAGGAAGGAAAAATAATTCAGGGTCTCGATTCCTACGTCAGTGCTTTTTGTTACTGAAAATGTTTCTTTTCTCTTTTAAAGTATCTACCAATCTTTTTTTTTTCCTTCAAGTTTATATATTTATATTGAGAGAGAGAGAGAGAGAGAGTGAGGGAGAGAGAGAATCCCAGCAGTCTCCGTGCTCATCACCAGACCTGAAATCAACAGACGCCTAACCAGCTGAGTCACCCACGCACGCCTTTTCTCACCTTTTTTTATGTTACTGACTTTGGAAATACTTTGAATGGTTCTTAATAACTTTGTTTTGTCACTTAAAACAAAAACAAACAAATAAACTTCCTTTTGAAGTCTTTGATTCTTGATTTGAATCCTAAATTAGGATTCTCTGAAGAAAAATTGATCTCTTAGCAACATGTTCGCTACTGATAGCCACGGTGTTTACAAAGGAGCCAGTTAGCTTAGCCCACATTTGGAATCCTTCAAAAGAAATGGGAATTTAAAAAGTTCTCTAAAAGGGAATCTGTTTCTCCTCCCTCCTTGGGTACTCCTCACCTCTCTGTCCCTAGGTTCTGAAGAGGTTTTCTTTCTGAAGTCTTAGCCCCTCAACCAGGAGCCACGATCATGCCCCTGATGTATCTCTTCCCTAGGTGTGCTACAACTGCACAGGATCCTTTTGCGGTTGCTTTGGTTACACAGAAGGTAATCGTTTTAGGGGGAGGATAGCTGTAAATGCACGTGGCATTCCTTTCTGCCCCTGTCCCACCTGCCCTATCTGGTCCTGTAGGACGCTTTTGTCATTACATTTGCTTCTTATCATTAACAGAGTTCAGGGGAAATGTTTCAGAATTAAGACTTTTAAGAAAGGCAGATGTTGTCTTAATCACTCCTGTTTATTAATAGAACTATCTGAAGTTGGTGCGTAGAATATTTGAAGTTCAGAAGAAATTGATTATCTGTAAATGAAAAGAAACACAAAAAAATAAGCTTTGTTTTTCCAAGTTCTAAAACAGAAAAACATAGCATAAATTCCCTGAGTAGCTAAAACTCTTTTTCACGCTTAGACTTAAAATTGTAAAGATCCATCATAAGAAACATACACAACAGATTATGAGTTTTTCTGTTAAAAACCTTGGGTGTGGATTTGAAAAAAAAAAAAAGAAACAAACCCAAAAAATGATGGCTTAGGCTTATTTTACTTACCAGAAGCTTTTGGTTTTGATATTCTTAAAGACCAGTTTCTTTAAAAAAAATTTTTTTTAACATTTATTTATTATTGAGAGACAGAGAGACACAGAGTGTGAGCAGGGGAGGGGTAGAGAGAGGGGGAGACATAGAATCTGAAGCAGGCTCCAGGCTCTGAGCTGTCAGCACAGAGCCTGACGCAGGGCTCGAACTCAAAAACTGCGAGATCATGACCTGAGCCGAAGTCGGTCGCTTAACCAACTGAGCCACCCAGGCGCCCCTATAAAGATCAGTTTCTATGTCTTTATATAATAGTGGTTAGAGTAAGAACGCTGTTTCTATGAATTTAAATGGTGTCCCTGCATTAATGCAACATGCAGTTCTGGGCCATGAGGTTGTGCAGGCTGGTTTGAGGATTAGAATTTCTGAGTATTAGAATATCCTCTGACCAGGATATTGAGGTAATTTATACTTCATCCTGTGAGAAAGCCTTTATATTTCAGCCAAGTATGTGGTTCAAAACCCAGAGCTCTACCTTGGGTCTTTCCTTCAGTATTTTGTTAGTGTCTTTTTGTTAACAATAGCTCTCTGCACATTTGGTATATGTGGGACAAAGCAGAAATGTGGCAGGCAGCAAAGGTATATACCAGAAAAAGTGACAAATTAGGGGTTAGGGAAAGGGAAAATTGGTAGTCTAAACTTTTTATTTTCATTTTATGTTTTTAATATTTATTTTTGAGAGAGAGAGAGAGAGACAGAGTGCACGTGGGGGAGAGGCAGAGAGAGAGGGAGACACAGAATCCGAAGCAGGCTCCAGGCTCTGAGCTGTCAGCACAGAGCCCGACATGGAACACAAACTCATGAATGGTGAGATCATGACCTGAGCCGAAGTCAGACGCTTAACCAACTGAGCCACCTAGGTCCCCCTAAACTTTTTATTATTTTTTTAAGAGGAAATACAGTTAGCTTCCTAAGCAGGATTAGATTCTTTTGAGGAAAATGTGAAAAATACTTTAAAAGAGGAGAAGGTGCTAAGGAACTACAGGAAATACATTTGGAAGCTTATAGGACATTTCCCACTATTGTTTGTTTCCTATTAATTATTAACGTGTTTTTGTTTTGTTGTTACTTACTCTCCAGGCGCCAAAATGGTACCAGCTGTTGAGTAATAAATACACCAAGTTCAAGTCGGAGATACAGATAAGCATTGGTTTGGAAACAGACACCAAGGCGCCAGTGGATAGTTTTAAAGCAAAAGGAGCCCCCCCTCGAGATGGAAAAGGTTTGTGTGTCATTTCTAAGGACGTCGTCTGAAAAGTTGCTTCTGTGGACTAGAGCTTCAGGAGCGGTGGGTGGTGTGATAGGAAAATACACGCAGGAGTGTAAACACATTTTACTCTGGTGCCTCCGACAGATGTTGTCGTATTGTTAAATGTGCAGCACTGCTCTAACTCTTCCTAGAGAAGAGCTAGAAATAGACAAGATTTTCCTTTCTTTATTTGGTATATGACAAAGCACAATTGTGTATTCTTAAAGATGGCTATTTAGGAAAATTTTCTTCCTAGGATGAGCACAAGAAAGCCAAACAGTTACACTGTTCTCTCTTCACTCACTTGTTAACCACACCTTCATATTTTTCTTTCCTTGTTTTTTCTTTTTTTTGTTGTTGTTGTTGTTAATAAACTTTATTTTCGAGCGGTTTTAGCTTCCCAGCAAAATTGAGTGTCAAGTACAGAGTGTTGCTGTGGACCTCGGTCTCCTCAGCCACACAGCCGCCCCACTATCCACCTCCCCGGCCAGAGGGGCCACATGTTAAAAGTGATGAGCCTACATGAGCCAATCACTTATCACCCAGAGTCCACAGTTGACATCAGCACTTATTTTTGGCGTTTTATGTTCTGTAAGTTTTGACAAACAAGTAATCACCTACGTCTATGACTGGAGTTTCCCACAGTGTCACTGCCCTGAAACCCGTCTGTGCCATTTCTCCCTCCTTTCTGCCTAACTCTGACAAACACTTGTTTTTTTTTTTCACCGAAGTACGGTTGACGTAAAATGTCCTAATGGTTTCAAGCATACGACATAGTGATTTGACCAGTCTGTTCGTGATGCTGCGCGCAGCACAAGTGTAGAGACCCCGTGTCACCGTACGGCTGTCATAATAACATCGCTGTGTTCCTGTGATGGGACTTGCATCCTTGTGACTTACTCCTTCCGTAACCGGAAGCCTGTACCTCCCATTCCCCTTCATTCATTGTGGCCACCGCCCCCCTTCCCTCTGGCAGCCACCAGTTTGTTCCTTGTGTATTTATAGGTCTGATTCTGCTGGGAATAGACTTTGCATCATTTGCAGACAAAGACCATATCATGTCTTTATTCCCAGTTGGCATGCCTTTGTTTCCTTTGCTTATCTTCCTGCGTTTGTCAGGACGTGTAGTCTGGCACCACAAAGCTGTGATGAAAGGGGATCTCCTTGCCTTGTTTCTGGAGGATTTTTATGGATGTTCTTTATCAAGTCGAGGAAGTTACTCTCTAGTTGTCTGCTGAGGGTGTTTCATCATTACCGAGTGTGGGATTTTGTCAGATGCTTTTTCTGCATCTTTTGATACCATCAGGTGGTTGTTCTTCTTTAGTTTGTGATGTGATGGATTATATTAGCAGATTTTTGAATGTTGAACTAGTCTCGCGTACCTGAAAAAAATCGCATTTGGTTGTGGTGTATGGTTCTTTTTATACGTTGTTGGATTCACGTGGCCAATAGGTTGTTGAGAATCTGTGCATGTATGTTAATGAGAGCTATTGGTCTCTTCTGTTCTTGTTGGGTAATGTCTGGGTCTGGTTTTGACATCAGGGTTTTAAATGCTGGCATCATAGAATGAGTTAGGGGTTATTTCTTCTGCTTCCGTTGTCTGAAAAAGATGGTGGAGAATTGGTCTTTCTTCCTTGAATGTTAGGTAGGATTCACCAGTAAAGTCATCAGGGTCTGGTACTTTCTGTTGTGTAAAGTTGTTATTGATTCAATTTCACGAAATGATATAGGCCTGTCTGGATTGTGTGTTTCTTCCTGTGTGACTTTTGGCAGACTGTGTCTTTCAAGGGAGTTGGCCCATTTCTTACAGGCAATCCAATCTGTGGATTAAAAAGTCGTTCGTGTAACATTCCTTCAGTATCCTTTTAATGTCTATGGACTGTACAGTGATTCTTTTTTTATTTTGGATATTAGGAATTTGTATTTTCTCTCTTTTTCTCTTAGTAACTTGGCTAAATGCTTACTGATTTTATTGATGTTTTCAGAGAGCCAGCTTTCGGTTTTAGGTCTCTTTCTCTGCTGACTGAATTTGATCTGCACAAATGTGCTGCTCTTATTTTACTTTCCTGAAAGAGAAGCTTAGATTGTTTTGGGTTTTTTTTTGTTTTGCTTTTTAGTGTGCCTTGTACTGTTTTGTTGAAAAGTGGACATGATACCCTGGGTAAGAAGAAAACAGGTCTTAGGTAATTTAGAGGTGAAGGAGAGGGAGGGGTTTTGTAGTCCTGTGATGAAGTCTCAGTCTTTGGTGAGCCTGCCCCCCCAGTACTGTTGGGGTTCATCTGGTATTAGATTTAGGTTCTAGATCTTTGGCAGGAGGATCAGAGAAGTGATGCTTTTGTTCTTTTTCACTGCATCCTATCAGCACACAACTTTGATTTGTTCCATTACTGGTGATGTCCACTTTGGTTATGATTCAGGTAGCGTATGCCTGTTACTTTTTCTTTCCTTCACTTATAATTAATATTTTGTGGGACATTATCAAGTGTGGACTTAGAGTTCTTTTTGCTTAATGGGTTACAATATTTATCATTATTTGTCCCTGATTTGTGCACCGAGAGCCCCTTCAAACTTCTGTTTCCGTTAGCTTGTCTCCATAATTCTTACCGCTTTGGTTAAATTTATTCCTAGGTATCTTCTGGTTTTTGGTGCAGTTGTAAATGGGATCGATTCCTTGACTTCTCTTTCTGCTCCTTCACTATTGGTGTATAAAAACAGATTTCTGTGCATTGATTTTGGATCCTGTGACTTAGCTGAACCGGTGTATCACTTCTGGCAATTTTTTGGTGGAGTCCTATGGGTTTTCTATATAGAGTATCATGTCGTCTGCACATTGTGAAAATTTGACCTTTTCCTTGCCGATTTGGATGCCTTTTATTTATTTACTGATTTTGAGAGAGAGTGAGTTGGGGGGTGGAATCCCAAGCAGGCTCCACACTGACAGTGTGGGGTTCAAATCTGTGAACTATGAGATCGTGACCTGAGTGAAATCAAGAATTGGACACTTAAATGACTGAGCCACCCAGGCACCCCTGGGGACCTTTTAATTCTTTTTGTTGCCTGATTGCTGGGGGTAAGACTTGGACTACTATGTTAAGAGAGTGGACATCCTGGTCTTGTTCCTGACCATAGAGGAAAAGCTCTGTTTTTCCCCAATGAGGGTGATGTTCGCCGTGGGTTTTTCATAGATGGTCTTTATTAAGTTGAGGTATGTTCCATCTGTCCGTACTTTGTTGAGGGTTTTTATCAAGAATAGATCTGTATTTTGTCAAGTGTTTTTTCTGCATCTATTGAGAGGATCATATGGTCCTTATCTTTTCCTTTGTTAATGTGGTGCATCACATTGATTGACTCGCAAATATTTAGCCACCCTTGCCGCCCGTACGTATTCCACTTGATACGGGTGAATAATTCTTTTAATGTACTGGTTGGATTTGATTTGCTAGTATCTTGAGAATTTTTGCATCTATGTTCATGAGGGATATTGGCCTGTAATTCTCCTTTTTAGTGGGGTCTTTGTCTGGTTTTGGAATCAAGGTAAGTTTAGCAGCTTTCCTTCCATTTGCATTTTTTCAGAGCAGTTTGAGAATAGCTATTAACTCTTCTTTAAATGGCTGGGAGAATTCCCCTGGGAAGCCATCTGGCCCTGTACTTGAGTTCTTTAGGAGATTTTTGATTGCTGATTCAGTTTCTTTGCTTGTTATTGGTCATTTTAAGTTATCTGTTTCTTCCTGTTTCAGTGTTGGTGGTTTGTATGTTTCTAGGGATTTATCCATTTCTTCCGGGTTGCCCAACTTGTTAGCATATAATTTTTCATAATATTCTCTTATAGTTGGTATTTCTGCGGTGTTGGTTGTGATCTCTTTCATTTGTGATTTTATTTATTTGGGTCCTATCTCTTTTCTTTTTGATAAGTCTGTCTAGGAGCTTATCATTTTTATTAATTCTTTCAGAGAACCAGCTCCTCATTTCATTGATCTGTTCTATGGTTTCTATATCATTTACTTCTGCTCTAATCTGTATTATTTCCATTCTTCTGCTAGCTTTAGGCTTTATTTGCTGGTCCTTTTTCTAGCTCCTTTAGGTGTAAGGTTAGGCTGTGTAGTTGAGACCTTTCTTGCCTTTTAAGTAGGCTTGTACTGCAATATGTTTCCCTCTTAGGACCACTTTTGGCGCATCTCAAAAGTTTTGGGTTGTTGTGTTTTCGTTTTCTTCTATGTATTAATTTCTTCTTTAATTTCCTGGTTAACCTATTCATTCTTTAGTAGGATGTCCTTTAATCCTCATGTATTTGTGGTCTGTCTAAATTTTTTCCTGTGGCTGACTTCGTTTTATAGTGTTGTGGTATAAAAATAAGCATGGTATGACCTCAGTCTTTTTATACTTCTGGAGGCCTGATTTGTGACCCAGTACGTGATCTATTCTGGAGAATGTTCCATGTGCACTCGACAGGAATGTGTATCCTGCTACTTTAGGATAAAATGTTCTGAATATATCTTAAGTCTGTCCGGTCCAGTGTGTCATTCAAACACATTGTTTTCTTGTTGATTTTTCTCCTTAGATGATCCGCCCATTGCTGTAAGTGGGTGTTAGAATCCCCTACTATTATTGTATTGTTATCGATGAGTTTCTTTATGCTTGTGATGAACTAATTTATAGATTTGGGTGCTTCCATATCAGGAACATAAATATTTACAATTGTTAGGTCTTCTTGGGATAGCTCCCTTAATTATGATATAATGCCCTTCATCTCTTATTACAGTCTTTGGTTTAAAATCTAGTTTGTCTGATAGAAGTATGGCTACTCCGGGCTTTCTTTTGACATCCATTAGCATGAGAAATGGTTCTCCATCCCCTCAATTTCAATCTGCAGGTGTCTTCAGGTCTAAAATGTGTCTACAGGCAGCATATAGATGAGTCTTGGGTTTTTTTTGTTTGTTTGTTTATGCATTCTGATACTCTCTATCTTTTGATTGGAGCATTTAGTCCATATACATTCAGAGTGATTATTGACAGATAGCCTGTGTCCGTAATTCTTTGAGCTTTTTCTTGGTTTCTGGCATAAGAAGATGATCCAGGCTTATCTTGTTCTTTGCCTATCTTAGCCCTGGGTTCAGCTGTTTCTTTAAGGAGCCTGCTTCCTTCTAGTAAAGAAAGATGTTGAAGAGTCAAGTTCCAAGTGCAAGATATGCCAGTTGCTATTGGGGTGTTCCAGTGGAAAAAGGGAATCGGTGCATGTGTGTATACATACACATATATACGTAAACATGGATGTATGTATATATATATATGTGTGTGTATATATATATATATATATATATATATATACACACACATATATACACACACACACACACCCCCCCCAGTAACACACACATGTACACCTTTATGGCTCTGTTTATTTACACATTTAGTGAACAGCATACATTCACATTGACACCTTCATTCCATCCAGTCTTCTGTAAGAGTTTTCCTAGTTGTTCTTCCTTTCCATACCTGTAATTCCCTGACAATGGGAGACCTGTCATAGTTATTCTGCTGACTTCTAAGCTCTGCTGACCTTAATATTTCATGGCTATCGTTATTAAAGTGATTGTCAGATACTGTACTAAATGCATTACTTTGATTTAATCTTCTAAACGACATAAAAGCTTTGCAGAAATAAAAATGGAAGCTAAAAGAGATCATATGGTTACAACATACAACTAGCAAATGGCAGAACTGGGATTGGAACCTTGGTCTGTGTTACTCGAGTGTCTCTGCTCTAAACCATGATGCTATTTTTATTTATTTATTTATTTTTGAGAGAGAGAGAGAGAGAGAGAGAGAGAGTGTGTGTGTGTGTGTACACACACCTGCTCAAGTGAGGAAGAGCCAGAGAGAGAGGGAGACGAGAATCCTAAGGTGTCTCTCCATGCTGTCAGCACAGAGCCCACTGCAGGGCTCAAACTCATGAACCACGAGATCATGACCTGAGCTGAAATCAAGAGTCATACCCTCAATTCCCTGAGCCACTCACGTGCCCCTCTTATATTTTTTTAAAGTTTTATTTATGTATGTATGTATTTATTTATTTTGAGAGAGAGAGAGAGATGAGATGAGAAGAGAAGAGAGTGTGAGTGGAAGAGGGGCAGAGGCATGGGTAGAGAGAGAGAATCTCAAGGAGCCTCTGGGGCAGAGCCCATTGCAAGGTTTGATTTCACAACTGCAAGATCATGACCTGAGCTGAAAGGAAGAGTCAGACGCTCAGGATTAACCCTGCATATTACCCCTCCCTCCATCCCCCATCAGAGTGAGAGCTGTCTTTTAGCTAAAGAGTTTTGTTAGAGACTCATTTTCAAGCCAGAGGTGCAATTTGCACCTCAGCCTGGAAAATTGAATCCGGAGAGGATTACTTACTGATAGGGTATGTATACATATGAGGTGTGAATTCTGCCACTTCTCTTCTCCTAATTGGTTCATAGTTTCCTCTTAGGAAACTATCTCACTGTTTAGAGTGGCATCCAGTAAGCCTCTGCTTAGCCCTCCAGCCCCGTGACATGTGCCTTCCATGTCGGTCATCACCCTGTGATCAGCGCCACGCCTACCTCACTTCTCCAACGACAGGCTTTCTCTTCCTTCCCAGTCTCTGCAGTGCGGTTCCTTCTGCCTAGAACACTCTTTTCTACTCCCTTATCCTGTGTATGTTCACCTTTCTCTTCTTAGCCACATGGAGTTTATTTTTCAGTTCCCAGTTGAGATTCACTGCCTTCAGGAAACCTATAATGTCTTTTCTTTGTGGTTTATTTATTTTAAAAATATTACCGTATTCCAAAATAAGGCTTTTATGTGCAGAAAGAAAACGGTGCTTAAGTAAGGTTTTTTTTTTGAGGGTGTGAAAAACAAGAACATCCAAGGAAACCTTATTGAGATACTATATCCATGAAAACTGCAAGCAAGATACAAAGCGTACCCAGCTTTCAAAACCTTCACAGTCGTTTATGGCACACTGTGACATAGTTTAATTGTGTTTTTTCCCCGTAAAGTACCTGCCAGCTTGTCTGGCCTCAACCCCAAGGACATTGTGGCAGTGCTGAATGAGGAGGGAGGCTACCATCAGATCGGACCAGCCGAGCATTGCACAGACTCCTTCATTATGTCAGTGACCATAGCATTTGCCACCCAACTGGAGCAGGTAAGACTTTACTACTGATTAGTGATTCACAAAGAGCGGAAAACATTGACTTTTTAAAAACTTGCCTTTTGGGTATTAAAAAGATGTGCAAGTGGACTGTTTTTTTGCTTTAAAAAAATGTAGAAACATGTTTCCATTCATACCAGAAAATATTTCTCGCTTTAAGAATAAATTGGTATGATGTTAGTAGTAAGAGAATGAAGTAAATCTCTGGACATTTAGAAGAAAGCCCATCAGTAAACACTGTTTCCCGTTGTACCATGTGGCATTGTAAAGACTGGTCTGAAAGGGTTTTTCTTTCTAAGTATTGAAATATTTATTTTTTGGAGAAATGTTCAATGTTGGGAACACTTGGTCCCAGTCATACTTTATTGGGTATCATGTCTGGAATTAGATTTTACCTTATTTACAAACTGACAAATTAGCCAGTTAGAATTTCTTGGATGTTGCCAGATGACAGGAGGTTCCCGGGTCGTTGCTGCTGTACAGAGTGGGTTTCCATCACAGCGGAGGAACAGAACACTTTGATTGTAAGTCGCCTGGTCTCCCCAGGAAGACACTTGACCTAATCCTCCTAGGTTACCAGCTGTATAAGCAACACAGGGAAGTGGCCTGTGTGAGGGTGGTCAGTGCCCCAGCAGGAAGTGCAGGGACTCAAGACCCACGTCAGCATTGCCTCTTCCCCAAAATGGCTTAGCATAACATGAGCTGGTACCTCATTTTCCTTCTCAGGATCTAGCCCAGTTTTCTTGACATTATGTTGGTCGATAGCAGCTAAAGTAAATTAATCTTTTCAAAAATAGAGAATATGACTCATGACTTAAATTTTTACCATACTAATAGCTTTCTTAGAAGTACAAAGTTCCCACATAGTCTGCATTTACAAGTGAAATATGAGTTAGTGACCACAGATTTATATGACTTGCAAGACTGTCAGGTAAAGATTTTTCTCAGGGAGTATGTATAATTTTGTCGCACTAAATTCGTGTTTTTGCCTTTCTGTATCACTTTCTCTATTTTTCTTCTCTTCATAAAGCCCTGCCTATGGATTGCTCCAAATATGCCATTCTGGTTAGTTACTTAGTTTTTAAAAAAAAAAAAACTCAAAACCAGAATAATTGCCTGTTGGCTCTCGCTGCTAAAAATTAAGCCAAAATGGGTTCCTCAGAAACAGTAAACAGAATTACCATGGAGCCCAGCAGTTCCACTGCTAGGTGTGTATCAAAAGAATTGAGAACAGGTGTTCAAACAAAAACGTGTACAGGAATGTTCACAGCAGTATTCACAGTATCTAAAAGGTGGAAACAACCCAAATGTCCATTAGTGGATGAGTGGATAAACCAAGTATTTGTGTGTATAATGGGATATTACTCAACTCTAAAGGGATGGGGCACTGACATGTGCTGCATCGTGGATGAACATCAAAAACCTGCTGAGTGAAAGAAGCCAGACACGCAAGGTCACATAATGTGTGATGGCATTTATGTGAAATATCTAGAATAGGTGAATCCATAGAGCCAGAAAGCACATTTGTGGTTTCCTGAGGCTGCAGGAAGGGGGAAATGGGGAGTGAGTGCGTAACAGTTACGGTATTTGTCTTGGGGATGGTGACAGCCTCACGGAACTAGATGTGGCGACCCTAGATGTGGGCGCATAAACGACATTGTGAATGTACTCTGTTACTGAGGTGTGCATGTTCTCGTGGTTATGGTGTTAGATTTTCTGCTGTGTATTTTACAATAATTAAAAAACACAAAAAATTAAGTCCAGTAGTGTATTCATCTTTTGATACTGTTGAATATTTATTGTTTGCTTTTTTCATTTTTTAAAGACAAGCCTTTTTTTTTTTTTTTTTTTTTTGGTACCTTTCTTAATTTTTGTTGAGAGGGTGCATGAGCAGGGCAGGGGCAGAGAGGGGAGAGAGAATCCCAAGTGGCTCTGTGCTGTCAGTGCAGAGCCTGATGTGAGGCTCAATCCCATAAGCCATGAGATCATGACCTGAGAAGAAATCAAGAATTGGATTGAGCCATCCCACGTGCCCCAAGCCAAGCGTTTTATAAATTAGCCATTTAGTTTTTTCTCTTCGAGGCAGTGAAAGGTGGTGTGAGAAAGCATTTGGCAACAAACAAACCAACGAAAAATACCTTTTCAGATGCACATCAGTGACTTAGAACCCACTGCTATCAAGTGGTAGAATGGAGGAGTTAGCTTGGGGCAGCGACCAGGCGGTGATAATCGTGCATTCCTCCTTTTCTTAGATACTGAAAGTTGAGGGTTAAAAAAACAAACAAGGATGATAAAGGATTTTTAAAAGAATCTTTTCTTAGTGGAATTACTTAAAATGAAGTACGCTATAAAATATCTAAGGACCATCTTTACTTCTTAAAATTTTTATTGCTTTGTGATTGTGGAAGAAACCAAAGGGGAAAAAAAAAGTCTCTTGTAATTGAACTCAAAAATAATCACTGGTGACAAGGTACTGTATTTTTTTTCTTCAGACATTTTCTTGTTCACATAATAGCTGACTCTGCTGGGTGGTGGTGGTGTCCACTTGAACATGTTTTTTCTCTTGTAATCCTTTTATTGACCCTAAAAGAAATGGAAGTACAGAGTGATAGAGCACTTTGCCCAGAGCTTCACAGTAAGCCATTGATGGAACCAGGATTGGGGGCGTAATCCAGAACTTGCTCTTAGCAACTGTCAGTGTATAAATGCTGCCTCTCTATGTATAAATCTACATGATTAAGATCTACTCAAATACATTTTTTCTCAGATTCATGAATGTATGGGACTAAAGTAAACATTTACATGTAAAAATATACTCTATACAAAACGAAAAATCGCTACTGAGTATTTACTATGTTATTTTACACAAAATAAGTAATTTTATTGAATATTTGCTATATATTGAATACGGAGCTGCTATATTCTAAGCGGTTAATTCTTTTATTTTCATGAACCATACAAACTGTCCTGTAACTTCTCTTGGCCTAAGAGTATGTCTTAGATAACTTCCATGTCAGTATATCATTATTTAGCAGCCATATTGTATGATAACTAAAATATATTTAAGCCATCCTCTACCGATGAATACAACACTTGTTATTTTTAACAACATCCTAGTGAACACTTAGGGTCTGTTGGATATTTGATATTTTATGGGACAGGAATCTGTGTTTCCGCCATAGGTGGTCATGAAGCTGCCAGTTTTGAGAAACAGGAAACATCCTTTTGCAACTGTTAACTTGTAGGTTTCCCAATTTTGACAGAGTGTCTAGAAAGCTTTTTTCTCAAAGGCGTGGACTAAGGTGTTACATTAAATAGCCTGCCTGACGTGTGTTTAAAACCCTTCTCTTATGTATGAAGACAGTGGCCGAGTAAGAAGAAGATGAAATAAGGTATATGGAAGTAAAGAAGATTCAGTTTAAAATATGTGACCGCTTGCTTCTAAAAGAACTTACACGTACTCGTTCATGGATCAGTTGGATGAAAAGTACACTTTAAAACAAAACATATGTCTAAAAAATATTTTAGTCTCTGGGCTTTTCTAAGGTAAACCTTGAAAAGTTAAACTAGTCGTGAGGTCGTAATTTTTCAGAGATTAAGAAATTTTGAGTGATTTTAAGACTTTGAAATAAAATCAACATTTTAGCGTAAATTTTAGAGTTCATCAGACATTCATAAGCCTGTTTAGTGGTTTATAAATGAATACTCTTTTTTTTCCTTCTTAAATGTTTAGTTAATTCCATGTACCATGAAACTTCCAGAAAGACAGCCTGAGTTTTTCTTTTACTATTCTTTGCTGGGAAATGATGTTACAAATGAACCCTTCAGTGATTTGATCAACCCAAACTTTGAGCCAGAGAGAGCATCTGTTCGAATACGTAGCAGCATAGAAATTCTTCGTGTTTACCTGGCACTTCAGTCTAAACTACAGGTAAGTACGGCAGGAACTCTTTTTCACTTGAGATTTTTTTTTTTTTTTAATGTTTATTTTAGAGACAGTGTGAGTGGGGGAGGGTCAAAGACAGAGGGAGACAGAGAATCCGAAGCAGGCTCCAGGCTCTGAGCAAGCTGTCAGCACAGAGCCCGACACAGGGCTCGAACTCCCGGACCGTGAGATCATGACCTGAGCCGAAGTCAGATGCTTAAGTGACTGAGCCACCCAGGTGCCCCAACTTGAGATGATTTTTTAAAGCTTCATAGAGGTACCAAGACTCTTATTTGAGTAGTGAAGGTCATCTTTCCCCCGTATCTTGTCATTTTTTAGGAATTCTCCTGGCTTGTGAAGTCCCTAGTATAGCCATTACTTGAGAATTTTAGGAGATACCCCTCTTTTCATCATAACTGGGTAAAGAAGTATATCAGTTGACAGTCTGTGTAATAGAAAATGTATAGAGAGCCTAAAGTTGTGGGCTCAGGGAAGATTTCATCATTAATTAGGGGGCTTAGTAGTCATACACAGATCATGCCCTGGATTTCAGAATGTATATACCCAATTGCTATTAAAAGCTAAGAAAGGGGTGCTTGGATGGCTTAGTTGGCTAAGCATTCTGACTTTGGCTCAGGTCATAATCTCATGCTTTGTGGGTTTAAGACCCACGTTGGGCTCTGTGCTCACAGCTCAGAGCCTGGAGCCTGATTTTGATCCTGTGTCTCCCTTTCTCTCTGTGCCCCTCCCCCACTCATGTTCTGTGTCTGTCTCTCAAAAATGAATGAACGTTAAAAAAAAGGCAGGAAATAACCCAACTTTCTAAAACCTGCCCTTGAATCAAGGAATTTTGTCAAGTAACGTTCTATTGGACTCTCTTTAAGTGAAGCTTACTCAGTGAATTTACTGTTCTTTGTTTTATTACAATTGATTTTTTTTTTTAATTAAAAAAAATTTTTTTTAACGTTTATTTATTTTTGAGACAGAGAGAGACAGAGCATGAACAGGGGAGGGGCAGAGAGAGAGGGAGACACAGAATCTGAAACAGGCTCCAGGCTCTGAGCTGTCAGCACAGAGCCCGACACGGGGCTCGAACTCACGGACCCTGAAATCATGACCTGGGCTGAAGTCGGACGCACAACGGACCAAGCCACCCAGGCGCCCCTGTCACAATTGATTTTAATCAGACTGAAATGGGGTAGTGTAATAAAGGATTAGGTAGTCATTTTTTAAAAGTGATCAGTCTTTAGATTTTGCTTGCAATTTGGGTGGGAGGTGGGAAGAGCCTTTAAGAAATTGTAATAGAGGTATATTTTGGACGTGGTTCTGCTAAACTCAGGATTCTAAGTAGCTGAATACTACATAAAATGATGAACTGCTTTCTTCCTGTATTTTATCTTTTCATATGGATGTTACCCTTCTCCCATCCAAGTACTAACCAGGCCTGACCCTGCTTAGCTTCCGAGATCAGACAAGATCAGGTGTGTTCAGGGTGGTATGGCCGTAGACTGGATTTTAGCTTTCTAAACATCTTGAGATTTATTCCACATCTAAAACACCAGTCTTTACCAAAGTATTGACTTCTTTCTTACTTTAATTCTCCTAGACCTTTAAGTCGTAAAAATCCTTTCTCTCCATCCCATTAACACCATCACGCCTAATAACATTGAGACTAAATTACAAGTCATTGCTGACATTAGAACTAAAAATAGTTTCGTGTTGTGACTGCTTATTGTGCATCTGAATGCCAGTACAGGAAGATAAACAAGTTGATACTATAGTATGTAGGTGATGGGTAGTTTCGAAAGGGGGTAATGTTGAAGTTTTGACTAGCTATCAGTGATATACAGTATGCTCCACCCGAGAGGTACTCTGTTTTACCTTGTAGCGTTAAACGCTGTTTTATATATGAACTCTGAAAAGCAAGAAAAGAGAAAGAAACACTAAAGATGTTTTATGGGCAAATAAAACAGAATTATTTCAAGTTCTTTACTTTCCAAATAGGGCTGGAGCTACTAACTTACTTATTATTATTTTTTTTTTACAACTGTTGAGATTAATTTTGAAATCGAAATAGAAACATTGCTTGAGGTATTTGTTTTCTATTTACCTTCATGTATTCATGATATATTTGCTTATGTCAAAACAGCCCAGTAAGATATTAAAGTAACCATAATTCCTGAAGGAGAAAAGGGTGATAACGTATGATTATACAACACTGGAAGAAAAAATGAAAAAGAATAGCTTTATTATTGAGTTCTTAGGAAAGTTTATGCCTTATCAACAGTTTGAACAATCAAGTATGAGACTCTTTGACGCAGTTGCTGCAGGTCAGGAAGATAACCTGCATTATACTTCCCTTCTCTGGATCAGGTTATAACCTTGGGTTAAAGTTGATGTGTTTAGGAGAAAGGAGAGATCATAAGGCCCTATTCCGATTTTCTCTTTCACATCAGATCCATCTTTGCTGCGGAGACCAGTCACTTGGAAGTACAGAAGTGCCCTTAACCGGACTGCTGAAAAAGGGGAGTACGGAAATCAACCAGCGCCCCGTTACAGTTGAGGGTGCTTTTATTCTTGACCCTCCGAAGCGAGCCAAGCAAAAGCTTGCACCTATTCCTGTGCAGCTGGCCCCCACTGTGGGCGTGTCTGTGGCTCTGCAGAGAGAAGGCGTAGATGCCCAGGCAAGTAGTGACCCCTCCATCTCCTCTTCCAGCTTCTGCACTGTCACTCCGGTGTCACTTGTGACTCCCGATAAAAGTTGAACTTCAAGAGTGACCTAGCATAAGCAAGTATTTATTATTCTTAATCAGTGGCCTCCATTATAGGTGTTTCTTTTCTGGAAAGTACTGTAGCTGCCCTGGCTGTAGTTTATAAGTGATAACACGGCCTTCACGTACCGTTTTCTCCTATGCTAGGAATCTCCCCTCCACCCCCCACCCCCCAGGTCATGGTCAGTCACTGGCAGAGATGGACCTCATTTCTGGGAATCTGCACTCATGGTATCATTTTGGTGGACTCAGCTTTAGCTTAAAGACAGGGTTCTTGGTTCATTAGTGCTTTCTAGTCCCCGTACTCTCTTTAGGCAACAGAGATGGTATTTGTTTGGATGTATATGTTTTTTGATTGTATATAGTCCCAGAATCAGCCTCCGTGTACTGTTCTTCTGAAGAACTGATCTTTATGTAGATTACAAATGACAGAAAAACTGATGTGAGAGTTTGAATGTATATATACATAGATATATATACATAGATATATATACATATATATATGTATGTATATACATATATATATCTATGTATATATATATAAATTAAAATATATATGCATATATTTTTAGAAGGAAGTGGAACAAAGGGAGAAAATCATGCTAGATCTGTTTTTATTTTGGCTTTGTTTTAACATAGGCCTCCATTGTATTTATTGCCTTGGTAACTAATAATAACCTTTCCCAGGGACGCCTGTCCCTGACTTCTTACACCAAATATCCCTTCTTACCAGTTAGGATATATTTTGGTACTCAGCTCTGGATATCCTGTTTCCTTCCTGTCCATCTTCCTTTTTCTGGTTCTAGATGCTATATGAAAATTTGCAAATGATGAAGAAAAATAGACTAGGAATATCTAAAGTGGGAAGGGAAGCTATTACTTAAAAAAAAAAGTGACTTTTTTTTGCTTAATGATGAAGGAAAGTGCTTTGCGAATCATACTTTATTTAACAATTATTTTTAGTCTTTAATTGAATTAAAGACCCAGAACGAACATGAGCCACAGCAATCAAAGAAGCAAGTTTTAACTCCTGTAAAAGAGAAGACGCTCGCTGGGCCAAAGTCACCAAGCGTGTCCCCTGTTCCACCTCAAAACCAGTCGCCTCCAACCCAAGATGATGCAACCGGAAGTGAAGTGGAGAGCCTGCAGTATGACAGGGACATGAAACCAAACGCAAAGGGTAAGACGTTCTCACACATCTTCCAAGCGTCCGTTTTGTAGCCATCTACTTAATGATGAAGAACGTTTTCGCCGTTTGTCAGTATATTGTGAGTTTGATTTTCTTTCAAGAGCCAATAATGTGTGGTGATGTAAAAATTCAGTTTAAATGGAATTGAATTGAATTGAAATTGAGTCTGTAACTTCATCACAGAATTGGCTAACAGGTAAGAATTGTTCAATTACTTTTATTTTAGACACAGCTTACTGAGAAGAAATGACAGAAAATAGTTCTCACTAACATATTTTTCACTAGGCAACGCTTGAATATCTTGAATCCATTGGAATTTTAGAGAGAAGAGCTACTAACTGCCTGTTGTAATAAACTTGTTATACCCATTTTTGATGCTAAAGTTAAGGGAGAGCCTGAGAATGGTTTTACTTGGTTGTGTCAATTTTCCACCCACTGCACTAGGACCCGCAGTTAGATCTTGTAGCGGAAGTAATTAGAACAGTGTTCGGTCAGGAGTCGGAAGTTAAGGTGCAAGTGATCCCTCAGTCACTCAGTAGCTGTAGGACTTGGGCCACTCGCGACCCATCTCTGGTCTGCAGTGGGACTGGAGGAGAATTCTCTTTTTGTCAGACTATGTCCTGTGTGCCTTCTGTAGCCAGAACTGTGTCTTCAGAAGCGATGTAATGATGCCTGCATTAAGTCTGCCATACAACCCCTCGAACTCGAAGTTAAGGTTAGCTGCCTCTTGGAAATAAGTTGGCGCCTGCCGGGCTGCTGTCGTATGTTAGCACTTTTCTGGTGTGCAGTCGATGTGGAGAGGGGGGCCTTCTTTACACAGTTCTAAAAATGGGAATTAAAGCCTACCTAATTTGGGGGCAAGTCACTTTAAGAAGTTCCTATGCCTCATTTCAGAGGTTTATGAAACCAAATGATCACATTTCTTGCTTAGAGGGAAATGAGATGGTATCTTTAAGTGAGGTAAATAAAGGAAGAGAAAGTGTTACCGAGTGGGATTTTTTTTCTATTAAATTTTTATGTTCATTGTAGCCATGGGTTCTTCTTTGCCTCTTCCGGTGGCCCAGCCAGTGACCACAGCCACTGCTTCAGAAACCGCCTCGGGACAGAAGATTGCGGTGCCAGCGACATCACATCATTTTTGCTTCTCAATAGACTTAAGGAGTATCCATGATTTGGAAGCTGGTTTTCCAATCAACTGTATGTTAAGGTGTGATATGATTTTGTTTCAAAGTATTCTTTTCTGAAGAGCAGTGCCTTTTCTCTACTTGGGAGTTTCAGAGGGAGAAACATCACCGGAGAAGTTAGAACATTCGTTAAACCCTGTGGACTGAAAAAGCCTGCAAGGTTCTGTCCTCATGAGTTCGAATTTCAACAAGGGTGCGTTGGTGGCATTGGTGGTATGAGAGGTGGTGATAATTGTAGGTGCTGGTGATAATTTACTACTGCTTCTATTCAAAGAGAGCGACTCTTAAAATGTGTTGTTTCAGAAGGTCACCTGGGTGGCTCAGTTAGTTAAGCGTACGACTTCAGCTCAGGTCACAATCTCACACTTCGTGGGTTCGAGTGCCACATCAGACTCTGTGCCGACAGCTCGGAGCCTACAGCCTGCTTCGGATTCTGTGTCTTCCTCTCTCTCTGCCCCTCCCCCTCTTGTGCTCTGTGTCTCTCTGTCTCTCAAAAATGAATAAACGTTAAAAAAAATGGGAAAAGCATTGTTTCTAGAAAAGGTGTCACGGCAAATTCAGGGAAGTGTAATATCTTGTTTTTCTATGAAACTGTATTATAATGGGAAGTTGTATCTCTACTACTTGATAAATGAGACTCTGAGAACCATCCTTAATGGGTTGCACGTGGAATGTGTCTACCCTCTTCCATATAAAGAATTGAACTACTTATATATTTCAGTCAGTTAAATGGCTCTACTCAATAGCCTGTTATTAACAATAATACATTTTCATAAACCTTCTGGTTGAAATGTATATCAAATGTAATATATTAATGTGTTTTAGTTGGGAGTGGTTAGTTGTTCCTTACAAATTTCTTCAGAGCAAGCACTAGCCTTTCTAACAAAGTTGGTGCTCTTGATGCAACTAAAATGAGAAAATCTTTCTGTCATCTTGGACTGCCGTTTCCAGGAACGTCCACAGCTACGCACTGCTTCCTGCTGGTATTTGAGGCATACGTGCCTTTTAAATGCATAAGTTAACTCATACTTGTATCTACTCCTTCATGTCTTAGATTCCTCTCCAGCTCTATCCAGAATCCTCTCAGCTTGGATGTGAACGATGTACAAAATCAAAGGGACCCAGCACTGGGTGTGACTGAATTCACAGAATGGCATTGTTTCCATCACAGCTTAAGTTGTACTGTTTACCTCTTCTCAGAGGCTGAGAAGAATTATTAATATGTTATTTGAAAATTGAGGGAGAAAAAGCTTGTCTCTAACAGAGCTTTTCTCAAAGGGTTTATAAAACCTCTCTTAAAATTGTTTTTAGAAAAAGAATTGTTACTAGTATTTCTCCTCTTTTTGTCTTCCTCTGTTTTTAATTTATTTAATTTATTTTGATTTTATTTATTTAGAGAGAGCACGAGCAGGGCAGAGGTGCAGAGGGAGAGAGAGAGAATTTCAAGCAGGTTCCAGGCTCAGCGTGGATCCCAACATGGTGTTCCATCCCATGACCCTGGGATCATCACCTGAGCTGAAATCAGGAGTCAGACGCTCAACTGACTGAGTCATGCAGGCGCCCCTATCCCTCGACTTTTTTAACTGAGATCTCTTTTCTGCTGCTACTAGAGAATGTGATCTTAGGGTACCTAGAGATAGTGTTGGCTAGAAGCATAGAAATATCGAGGTGATCTACAGTTAGAAGCTGTGAGGGGGAAGCCTTGTACTAGCCCCCTTAGCAGGCATGCATCCTAGTTTTTGTGTCTTCCTTTCTTCACAGAAACCACACCTGATTAAATGGGAACATGTCTGACTACTGCTGAACTTACTCTATGCCAAAAAGCGCTTATTTTTGCTGGGAGGGCAGAGATGAAAAACACAGGAGCCATGCCCCCAAGGGACTCCTGGACAAAGGGCAGCTTGGTCTTTGTTTGGCGTCACTGTCATTCCTAAATTTTAGAGTCATTGGGAGTGTATAAGAATGATTCTCTCTTCCTTTTTCGGTGTTACAGCCTTCACAATACGAGACTTCTTCTTGCCCTCAAGTTCATCTTAAGATTGCTTATAAAGCAGCTTTGGGAACTAGTGCTATATACACATAATGCATTTCCTCTGGAATTGCTGACAACATTTGCAGAATTTTAAAGTTGATGACAGGATTAGAACCACAATGTATTTGTACCATTTACGTATTCTAAAAATTCTATTTGTTATATCCATTTTATCCTTAAAAAAAAAAACAGATTAGAAGTCTCATCTGTAACCTGTATCATAGGTTGGTTTTTTTGGTTTGTTTTTTGTTTTTTTTTTTCTAAATTCTAGGTACTCCTATCCATTCTTTGGTAGTGCAGCTCCTATTATGACAAATCCTCCTGTAGAAGTTCGCAAAAACATGGAAGTTTTTCTTCCACAGTCTTACTGTGCATTTGACTTTGCAACTATGCCTCAACAGCTGCAGGATACCTTCTTAAGGTAACGTAAATATGGTGTGTATGACACGAAGCCACTCTTGAAAATGCGTATCTTGTTACTGACGAGGAATTTCTAGAGATTTAGATCCAGAGCAGTTAATGCATCTGATAACTTGGACACGCACGTATTAGTAATGTAATTAGTAATGTCCGTGACGTGGGTGCTTCTGCTCTGAAGTTTTATGAAGTTATGGAGACTCTTCGCAGACTTTCATATCTTATTTGTCTGAATTTGGAGGTTAGAACTGTGTTAAATACCATCTGTGAGTAAGGAAGACGATTTGAAAGACTACTGTCTTGTTTTTCATAATATGTGAAGATCAGTAGGAACAAGCTATTTAGTTTTATCACGGATGCACCAGTTGACTGTAGTGAATTGGTTGCTTTTTCTGTTGCCTCATCTGTATAAAATGAAGGTGTTATTAATGCACCTATCTGAAATGGATTTGTGAAGAAAAAGATCTGAAACGTCTTTTTACTCAATTCAAGTGTGTATATTATTTTACAAGGAGGAAGGAAGAGTAAAAAATAGCACTTCGTGGGTTTTCTTTATTGCACAGAAAGAGGTGTAGAAACTGTAATGGTATTTTCTGTTTGTTACCTGTGGAATGGAGCCTTTCCGACCCAGGTAACAGAAACATCTTGGTGCTTGGGGAACTCAAAGATGTCCTACTGACTTGGTTCAGAAATGATAAGATATGAACACTTGTTTTCTCTTCCTTAGGATTCCACTGCTGGTTGAATTATGGCACAAGGACAAAATGAGTAAAGATTTACTCCTGGGAATCGCCAGGATCCAGCTTTCTAACGTCTTGTCTTCAGAAAAAACTCGCTTTTTAGGTTCCAGTGGTGAACAGTGTTGGCGTCAGACGTACAGTGAAAGTGTGCCTTTTATAGCAGCACAGGGGTAACGGATTTCCCAAAATGGCCATAGCCTGCTTTTTGTTCTCATTGGCTGGGTACAGCCTTACGCGTCCCTGTCATCTTGGTGGTGATGGTTCTTCTTTGACCTCGGGGGGCTGTATTCTAATTGGCTTTTTAGCACTCTTTACCTTTCTGATCCCACTGTACCCTCTAAGACTCTTAACACATAGGATCTTAAATGTTTCCCTCCTCTCTGTTAAGCCTGACGGTTTTAATTTCCCACTATGTTGTTTGTGTGTGTGTTCAGTAATTCCAGGTCAGATTTATAATGTATTTTTATATTATTTTGCTTTGGGAATGACTGTTTTTCTACTTGAAAATATTTTAACTTTTGCTTCAAATCTATTTGCTGAGAATGTTACAAATGTTTGGCACTTTTAAAAAATGAGCATGGTTTCTATGCCCTGGAATCTGGTGCCACCATGGAAAACTGAAGTTCACATACCTTACACAAAATACATCTGTTTTATTTATTTTAATTTTTTTTTAATGTTTATTTGTGAGAGAGAGAGAGAGAGAGACAGACACACACAGAGTGAGTCGGGGAGGGGCAGAGAGAGAGCGAGACACAGAATCCAAAGCAGACTCCAGGCTCTGAGCTGTCAGCACATAGCCCGATGTGGGGCTCGAACTCCCGAACTGTGAGATCGTGACCCGAGCCGTAGTCAGATGCTTAACTGACTGAGCCACCCTAGGCGCCCCAAAATACATCTATTTTAAATACGTCTTTTTAAATTTAGCAGTAGAAATTTAAATACACTTTAAAATTATACATCACATGCCTTGGTTTTTGAAGCATAATTAGAATGTACAAAGAAATCAGGCTCAGTAAAAAGCTGAGATCTAAAAGTAGTATTTAAATCCCTTCCCTTGCTCTTCCCCATCTATAGTCCCTTCCAGAGAGCAAAGAATTAGTAAAACTTTTATTCACTTGGAGGATCTGGCAACAGGTGTCTTAGAGAAGCACATCTTCTGGTGAACTGAAAATTCTTCCAAAAATCCCATTCTTTTGTCGCATTACGTAGAACACAATGAAAATAATTAAATCATTCCTAGTTATTTTGAATCTGTTGGTTATGAATGTGAACTTGTGTTGCCCTGCTCTGTAGACAGAGACGTTTTAGGAGACTTAGTGCTTTGGTGTATTTTATTAATTTCTTCTAAAAGTTGTGAGATTAGACGAAAATGTAAAAATGATTATTAAGAGTTTATCTGTGTGGGTTCCAGTCATTGAAGTTTTTGCTTGACCAAGGCTTTATGGAATACATTTTAGACAAGGCCACGTTTCTTGTAGGCAAGACTGTATTTTCCTCTGATGTTCTGGTAAATGCTATATGCAGCTGTACGAGACAGAGAGATGCTCTTTATGATAAAAATAACATATAATTATCCTATTTTTAGGAATTACCCTGAGGCAGTGCTCACATCCAGTAAAAGATTTATGTACAAGTGCTTCATCCCAGGAAAATAGTAGAGTAAGAATTCAGAAGAATCTACATAATCAAGAGGAGGAAAATTAGTTTTTGTCTTAATTTTACTGTGTAATTTTATTAGTATATTTTACAGGCATTAAAACTTAAACATTTTTGAATGAAGGTTGATGACATGAGAAAATGCTCCAGATGTCCGTGGAGAAAAAGGGACAATGTGTATCTGCATGTGTATCTGCACATACGTAAAACAGAAGAGAGGAAAGAAATGAGAGTTTAGCAGTAATTACCTTTGGGCAGTAAGAGTTTAAATTTCTCCAAATAATCTATAGCTAATGTAGGTCTTCTTGTAGTAAACGTAGGTCTGTATGTAAGAGTTCCGTGATCAGGTAAAATGCATATATGGAAGGTCTCGAGGTTTGAGTAGTGCGAGTGTCAGATACAAGAAATGTGACCTACTCAGTGCTGTAACGTTGGGGAAATAAAAGGAAAAATCATAGTGTTTCCACACATTTTAAAGTATTTCTGACTTCATGTGTAGGTCGAACAACAGGATAATGGATCTTTCTTACACAGTAACTCTAGAAGATTATGGACTAGTAAAAATGCGTGAGATTCTTGTATCTGATTCATCTCAGGTAAGTAACAGTGAATGTGAAACAACATGACTGTAGTGGATCCAATGCATTGTGTGTACGAGTGTGTTTGTTTCAATATGTTTTCATTCACGTCTTAGGGTTTATCTGCTGGGCAACAGAAGGCATGTTCCCTTCCTCCAGCACCTTGTCCTTCAGAAATCCAGACAGAGCCTCGAGAAACCTTAGAATACAAAGCAGCACTAGAGCTAGAAATGTGGAAAGAGATGCAGGAGGACATTTTCGAAAATCAGGTTACCTTTTAAATGTTACTTTGAAACCTTTTTTTTTTTATTGGTTTACTTAGAATATTTTTCTTCTCCATAGTAGACTTTTTTTTCTCTCTCTCTATTCCACGGGTACCCTGTCTAGCCCTCTTAATAGCAAGAATACTTTACTCTGAGAGAAAAACAGAATAAAAAAATAACTCGATAAATGATAGTTTGGCAGAAGCCATGCAGAAGGATCCCCTTGTCTATGACTTCTGGACAAAATTGGGACTGAAGGTTCGAAGTCAGTGTTTGAGAAAGTGAACATTTCTTTTAATTTCAGGCCCTCGTTTACCATATCCTCCTGGAGCCTAGAACCATCTCTCTTTACACAATAAAGAGAGAAAACAGGTCTTCACTTCAGTTTAAAAACATTTTTTTTACGTTTTATTTATTTTTGAGAGAGAGAGAGAGAGAGCGCGTGCACAAGCAAGCAGGGGATGGCCACAGAGAGAGGGAGACACAGAATCCGAAGCAGGCTCCGGGCTCCGAGCTGTCAGCACAGAGCCCCACCCAGGGCTCAAACCCACGAACTGTGAGATCATGACCTGAGCCCAAGTCAGATGCTCAACCGACTGAGCCACTCAGGCGCCCCATTTTAGTTTATACTCTTGTGTGTATCCCTTGCTTCAGGCATTCTCTTTGGTTTGTTTTAAGAATAAAAGAGGAGGTCTGAAGGAAACATACTGGTGATCAGTAGTATTTAACAGAGAACGACTGATTTGTGTGTTTGAAATATTGATGTGCTTTTTGTGACTTTTTCTTCCTTGTGTAGCTGAAGCAGAAGGAATTGGCTCATATGCAGGCTCTTGCAGAGGAATGGAAGAAAAGAGACCGAGAAAGAGAATCACTCGTAAAGAAAAAGGTAATAACTTTTATCGGAAATCTGTGGAGTAACAAAGTACAACGATTGTATACTGTTTTGGATAAACTGAATGGATGGGTCAGGAGTAGGAGGAAGGCCTTTCTCTCTAAGGTATTGGCTGCTTTTTTGATTTTGAACCCTGCATATGTATTATTTGTTCAAAAAATGAATACTCTAGGAAAAAAGCCTACCTCTGTATGAAAAAAGAAGATAGCACCTTTTAATCTGTTGCTAATCAGATGCTAATAAAAAAGCATCGAGAACTTAGAAGGTAATTTTAAGAATTTAATCCTGGAATAAATGACATCTTTAAAAATGAGACCATCTGATCTTACTCCAAAAAGCAAAAGTTCAGTACTTACCTATTTACACTTAAGTTATTGAGTAAAACAAAAACCCTGAAAATAACACTTCTTTCAGATACTGAAATTAAACTCTCATACGAGTGGTTAATGACATAGCTACAAACGGGAGAAGATAACCAATGGCAGGATGGCTTACTGCCCTCCACCAGGAGACTGGAGCAGGATGCAGACTAGAATATTTTCGAAAGTTATTTTCAGGGCTCTGACCAACCAGTTACATTTAATACGTAATTATTGGCACACTTAGGTTTTTTTTACTTGTTTTTTGCTATGCTTGGGTTTAAATCTGTTTTGTTGTTGCTTTTCCATTGTTCCATCGTTTCTTAGTTCTTTTTTTTTTTTTAATTTTTTTAATGTTTATTTTTGAGAGAGAGAGGGAGACACACACACACAGAATGCAAGCGGGGGAGGGGCAGAGAGCAAAGGAGACACAGAATCTGAAGCAGGCTACAGGCTCTGGGCTGTCAGCACAGAGCCCTACATGGGGCTTGAACCCATGAACCGCAAGATCATGACCTGAGCTGAAGTCAGATACTGAGCCACCCAGGTGCCTTCTCTTAGTTCTTTTTTTTTTTTTTTTTTTTTGGTCTTTTCCTGCTTTCTTTTGGATTCATTGACTTTTCTTATGATCCCATTTTATTTTTACTATTGCTTTATTACCAGTGTCTGTTTCATTGCTTTTTGGGAGGGTTGCTTTAAGGTTTAAAATATTCAGTTTTAACTTATTATTAGCACACAACTACTACTATTATTATAATTAATTATTGATGCTAATAATGCTATTATACCATATCACGTGTAGTGTAATAAGTTTACATCAGTGTATATCAGGCATGTGTTCTTTGTGTTGATACCATCATACATTTTGCTTCTCCATAAATTATCCTAAAATATATTTTTGCTTTTAAGAGTTAGTTTTTATTTTTATTATTATTTTTTTTTAATTTATTTTTGAGACAGGGAGAGATAGAGCATGAACAGGGGAGGGTCAGAGAGAAGGAGACACAGAATCTGAAACAGGCTCCAGGCTCTGAGCTGTCAGCACAGAGCCCGACGCGGGGCTGGAACTCACGGACCTTGAGATCATGACCTGAGCTGAAGTCAGCCGCCCAACTGACTGAGCCACCCAGGCACCCCAAGAGTTAGTTTTTAAAGAAAACTTTGAAGCAAAAGCCTCTTTTATTAACCACATAAATAACATTTCTTGTAGTTTGGGTCTGATGGCAATATGTGCTGTTAGCTTTTGCTTGAAGAAGTGTTTATCTCTCATTTTGAAATAAATATATTTTCACTGGGTATAGAATTCTGGGTTGACAGCTTTTTGTTTCAATCTGTAAAGTTGTTACATTAGCATTTTGGCTTGTTTCGTTCTTGATGGAAAAATCTGCTGGCCTTGTTATCTTGGCCCTCTATCTCTGTAAGGTCTCTTTTTTCCTCTCACTTGGTTTAAGATTTTTTTTTCTTGATCCCTAGTTTTCAGCATTAGGAATTTGATGGGCCTTGTGATTCTGTGTGTGTGTGTGTGTGTGTGTGTGTGTGTGTGTGTGTGTGTGT